CATGTAAAATATGTGGGTATATAGTCAAGAAACGAGAGAATATATATATTTTTTTTTTCTTGAACACACAATCGCAAATTAAATTAACGAGATAAAACTGTCTGGCTCGTAACGACCAATTTTCTTTATCTTTTACAGTGATTTCCCCGTCCAATTTCTGCAATTTCAAATACGAAGAACAGGCTGTAAGGGTGATCGTGAGTGTGAAGGTGATCTAAAATGCTGTCCAATTGCAGTTTGCTGTCACTTTACCTGTACAAAGCCGATGGATAGGTCTCTGACACGATAGACTCTTTGGGGTGTTGAAACAAACTGCTTTCTCAGCAGCATCAAAGCGCGGATTCCCATTACATATACCCGATTCTTATTTCGGGAGGATTCATAGACCGCACTGTTTTTTGTTTTTTGTTTTTTTTCCTTTATGAAGTTGCAATAACCAATTCATATACGTCTAACGTTTTTAATGCCCTACAGAAAATATGGATGACATATCTCTATTTGTCGTGTAATGCTCTAGCTGTGACTTGAACTCCAACATTATTTATCCATCTGCCTTTTGATAAATCTCAAAGGACGTATGAAGAGCAAAATCTTTTCGCATTTTCGCATAATCCTTGTTTCTTATTGAATAAAACTCGTAGTCTCTTACGAGATCATTCATAAATATAAGTCACGTAAAGAAATTCAAACGATTAATCATAACCCATTTATCAATGTGCCTTTGATGTCAATTATATTAAGATTTATGAATCTTTTAAGCTAAAGATAAGCATTATACCATTCTTTATAATCTTACATGACTTTCATATGCATTTCATTATAAAATATCTTTTAGATAATCCGTAAATGTCCAAATACGGAGCTACAAGGAAATATAGAATATAATACCAGCGTTGGTTATCTTTTTAATTCCCAGTGGTCCTGTCTTCCATTACATGTATATCTCAAGTTCTTCCAATTCCCCGGTTGGGAGCGAAAACTCTTGCGAAATGTTAGTTACTTTATCATGCTTTCCCTTCTCTTGTGCTCGTGCATTTACTGCAATTTCGTTGTTTTCTTTTCTCGTTAAAGGATTTTTCTCATTCTTTCACGGCTGTTGTTCTGGCGGGATTTTTTTTTTTTTTTTTTTTTTTTTTAATACCTCTCTTTGTCCGACCTTCTATGCATTCTTGTGCTTATATATGTGTGGATACATTTTCTTTTCTTTTTTACTGCAGTAAGGCAAATCCAGTTCAGTGTTTTCGTGACACTGGACCGTTCGTATTACATGACTTCCGAGTCTAGCGTGGAGTTTTACCACGTTCTGTTAACATACTGCAGATTCGGGGTGTGTAAACATTGGATAATTAATAATAGTGTAAATATTAGTCATAAATAAATATTTAGAACTTTGGAAAACAATTCCTTGAATATACGTACTTGCATTTACATTTTACCAAATCACAATGATCAATCTCGTTTTGTAGTAGTACATTAACATATATCTGTGTATACACACGCACACATATATATACACAGATATATAGTGTGGGTGTGTAATAGTTATAGATTAGGCATAAGGATTGAAAATCACAAAATGTTAAAGGTTTGGAGGACGAAAAGGTGATCAACCGAGTTAGAGGTGAGCGCGTTGGCAAGAAATGTTTTTAAACATTTCAGAACATAAAAAAGCAAAACAAAAGGCTGTCACTACCTAGAGAAGCTGTATATGTTTGGCCTTCGAACCGATTTTGTAAACCTATCCGCCGTAACAAGGAAAACAAACATTTTTTATCGGTGAAAACCGTGTACCATTAACCGCCCGCAAGTATTCTGTTACGTCATACGACCAATAAATACAAGTGCAGATCCCTTGCACCGTCAGTCTTGCAACGGAATCGTCTGATCCACATTCCTCAGTCATGTCTTCAACTGCAGTTCGAGTGTGCGCTCTCCTTCTCGTCGTGTTGATGGTAAGTACTCAAAATCATCATTGATAACAAAATAAACATATTGATGTGGAGAAAAATACCATTTCCCGTGTATTTTTTAACCATAACTATTAGTCAACCCGATTATTCTTTTGTTCTGTAAACCATGCATGGCTTGAGCATATATAGCATGTATTCCAATATTCTATAAACTATATGTAATATTCATATTCTAATATTCTGTAAACCATGCATAAATGTAGAAATTCCAATATTCTATAAACGATGCATGGCTTGAGCTTATAGACCCCTTGCAATGTTTACATGTAGAAACGCGCGCGCATGGTGTTAGGCAAAACATCTTCCTTTATCTGATGTTATGGCAGCGATCATTCAAACTTTACGGAACTTTTGCGATTTCCGTTTTACTTCTGAGACGAAAAATTACTTCACAGTTGTGCAGTTGCTTGTACAAACCGTAAGCCTGGGAAAAAAATCTTCGTTGCCTTTTTATGGAATGCCAAAAAGGAAAACGAAAATTCGATAAGCAACACGAAGAGAAAATTGAAAGCTCTTCACTGTTTATACTA